GTGGGGAGCCAGGACCTCACAAGCGCTAGATGAGAGCCCTCCCACAGAGCCATACCCCAGCCCTAGAACACTCAGTCTTCAGCACTTACTGTTCACCCACTATTAACAGATGGCTTCATTGTGCTAACTGGGACTCAAAGCTGCCCAGGGTTCTACGCCACCAAGAACAAATATGTGGCATGCATGTGCAAATTAAACATGGACAAACTGTGTGTTTCTAAAGACAGACACAGACACCAAGAGAGCATGCTCAGGAGTTCCTGTCACAATGGGACGAATCACAATATTTGGGATCCTCTGGGCAGTCATAGTATTGAAAGAAAGTTTCTCCCTCTTGGCCCTGCTATGAAGGAAAGCGATCCGGCTGCTCATGTCCCCTTCCTTTCACTGCACAGGCTCCCTACTCCTCTTTATGCATGTTTGTCAGTCTCTGAGTAAACTCAACCCACTGTGGAGTAACAGAGGAACATCACAAAGAGTCTCTGAAGAGCTCCACTCAATGTGAACACAAAGTTAGCAGAGGCTGGTGAACAACATGCTAATGCTATCACAGCTACAAGAAAAGACAGGAGTCTCTCCCCATTTCTGATCACAGGAGAAAAAGCCACCTGGATAGGAAATGCCACTTGAGGCCTGGGAAAACAGCTCAGTCTGCAAACTGCTGCCACAAAAGTATGAAGGCTTCAGTTTGAACCCAGAACTCACACAAAGAGGTGTGGTGGTGCAATCTCAGTGCTGAGGAGGCAGAGAAAGGAGAATCCCTGGGGCTCACTGGCTATCCAGCTTCACCAAATCTGTGAGTCACAGGCCAGTGAGAGACCCTGCCTCAAAACAAAAAAGTAGAGGGTTCCCAGGAGGTATCTGGGGTTGTTCCTTTGTCTCCACATGGACAAGAACAAACACACATACACTCGCGTGCACACACGTGCACACGGGGGTGGAGGGGTGGGGATGGGGTCAATTGACATTTTTACTTCTACTCCACTATCCAAAACCAAAAACTCTATTGTTCCAGGTAAGGAAACTACAAAATGGGTTGGGTATGGGGGGAGGGCATAACTCAGGCTGGCAAGAGAAATCTTTAATCCTGTACCATTGATGCCTTTCTCATGGCTGCCACGAACACAAGGCAACAGAATCCAACAGCAATTTCCTCCATGACCTGAGCTCTACACACAGAGATTGGTGTAGAGAGATGAGAGACTATAACATAGTCACAGTGGATGGTGACCGAACCTTGGTACACCCATGGTGAATAGTTCCTCCTGTGAATGGCACCAGACTGTCTTTTTTTCTCAGCATTCGATTCTTGGGGAATTCCGGTTTCTTAAGAGTCCATTGTTTCAATAGTCTGATAGAAAAATGAGGGACACAAATGTCTGTCCAAAAGTATTTTCATTCCTGCCAGGGCAGTCAGAAGAGCTCCACAGTGGGTAGAGATGTGAGGAGTCTCACATCATGCTTCCCCACCATGACAAACCCTGAGTGCTTCTTTCAATGAATCCTTAATCACAGAAACAAAAAAGCAACTAGTGGGCACCAGAGACATATCCTAACCAGCCCCATCACAAGGCCCTCCTACAATCCACCTGCCTTCACTCTATAACCCCACTCCCCACTCACACTACAACCCATTCACCTTCACACTATAACCCCATTCACCTTCACACTATAATCCCACCCATCTTCACACTATAATCCCACCCACCTTCACACTATAACCCCACTCCACCTTCACACTATAATCCCACTCCACCTTCACACTATAATCCCACTCACATTCACACTATAATCCCACCCACCTTCACACTATAATCCCACTCCACCTTCACACTATAACCCCACTCCACCTTCACACTATAATCCCACTCACATTCACACTATAATCCCACCCACCTTCACACTATAATCCCACCCATCTTCACACTATAACCCCACTCCACCTTCACACTATAATCCCACTCCACTTTCACACTATAACCCCACTCCACCTTCACACTATAACCCCACTCCCCCTTCACACTATAACCCCACTCCCCACTCCCACTCCCCCTTCACATTATAACCCCACTCCAACTTCACACTATAACCCCACTCTACCTTCACACTATAACCCCACTCCACCTTCACACTATAACCCCACTCCACCTTCACACTATAACCCCACTCCATCTTCACACTATAACCCCACTCCATCTTCACACTATAACCCTACCCACCTCCACACTATAATGCCACTCCACCTTCATACTATAGTCCCATTCCACCTTCACACTATAATCCCATTCACCGTCACACTATAATCCCACTCCACCTTCACACTATATACCCACTCACCTTCACACTATAATCCCACCCACCTTCACACTATAACCCCACTCCACCTTCACACTATAATCCCACCCACCTTCACACTATAACCCCACTCCACCTTCACACTATAACCCCACCCACCTTCACACTATAACCCCACCCACCTTCACACTATAACCCCACTCCCCACTCCCTACTCCCCCTTCACACTATAATCCCATTCACCTTCACACTATAATCCCACCCATCTTCACACTATAACCCCACCCACCTTCACACTATAACCCACTCTACCGTGCTTCACACTATAACCCTTTGCCCCTATCTTATGGACTACACATTCATTGACTAAATTGACACATCCCTGTCCTGGGAGAATTTAAAAATATGCTTCCTCAAAGCTTGCTTGTCATTTGCCAGTAAAAAGTTCTTGACATAGGCAGGACACAGCTTCTGCCTTCAGGGACTTGGTATCCACTGGAAGACATCTGAGATGGCTATTCTTGGTTTTCAACTTGACTACATCTGTAATTAACCAAAACACAAGTGGCTAGGTACATCAAAGGGGTTTTCTTAATTAAATCATTTAAAGTGGAAATACCCACCTTTAATCCATGTCTTTTGAGATGGGAATACCCACCTTAAATCTAGGTCAAACCTCTGGTGGCAGCCTATATAAAGACATGGAAGAAGGAAGTGCTCTCTCTTTGCCTGTTTGTCCTTGCTCTCCCTGGCAAGTCCATTCCTTAACTGGCATTAGAGCATGCTTCTTCAGGATTCCAGTGTATACTGAAGACCAGCTGAGGCATCCAGCCTTGTGGACCGAACAACTACTGGATTGTTGAGAGATTTTTCTATTGGTAAACTGGCATTGTAAGCCCTACTCAGACAAACAGACAGACAATGATAGATTCATTTATTCTAGCAGGTATGCTCCTCTAGAGAATTCTGACTAATTCAACACCCATTTGGGATATTACAATCCTTTATGTGGGAACTGTTTCTCACTCCACCACGACTCTAGGGACCTAGTACTCAGGCATTGCCACCACCAAACATTGTCTCATGACCCCACAGAGAAAAGCATTTGGACAGAGCTCCAAGGGCCCTGGTTTCTGATCCTTCCTTACCAGCCTGTCTTGTCAAAGTGCAGCTTGCATTCCCTCTAAACTCACCTGAGTTAGAACTCAAGTTGTTTGTACCATCACTTCTCTTACTTAGGAACAAAATTTAAAAAGTACAAGGAAAATGGTGGCGTGGAGCTATGTGTACCTAACCACCCCCCACATACACACACATGTACAAATAAAAAATCAACTACTTTTGATTGATGTTATACACATACAAACATGCATGCACACTCACAAACACAAACATAAAAAATTAAAAGGCTCTTAATAAATATTACACACAGAGACACACAAATAAACATAAAAAGCAGCTCTTGGTAAATAGAACACACACACAAACAATGCCTCAAATTCATTATTGCCTAGGTGACTTGCAAGATGGATATTCTAATATTCAACTATCATTACACGCTAACTTTTCTTCATAATCAAGGATTGACTTTAGAGCCTGGCGTATACTAAGTACACATTTTATCATACATCTACAACCTAACTTTTATAACTTTGAAACAGGGTTTCACTAAGTTGCTCAGATTGACTTTGTATTTGTGTCCCTCCTGCCCTGACCTCCTAAATTACCAGGATTATAGGTATGTGCTTCTCTAACCACCATTCTATTAAGATGCGACTGGATTGACTGGATAATACATCTCTAGAATGTGTTCCTAAATGGCACACAAGCATGTGTTCCTATGTATGTTACCTTTGTCAGGCTTAGCTCAGGGTAACACACACTTGAACCAAAACACAGGTAAGGGCAAACTCCTCAAGACAACAGCAAATAAAGGCTCTCTGTGGGGTCCTTAGACAGTCCCTGGCCATCATCAAAGTCTGCTCCCTCCACAAAGCCACTCTTTTTTTACTATGTTTACATTTTTCTTCAACTGTTGCAAGTCCCTTCTGGCAGTCCACTCATCTTCCACTATGACAAGTGGCATCTGACAACAGCCTACATTTACCAGCACAAAGTTGTATATGGATTTGTTCCTCTCTGAATCTTGCACATCTGAGGTTAGAGTACTAATTTCATATTCACATGTGTGGAAGCCAGGGGACAATCTTGGATGACATCTTCATAAATGACATCCACCTCTTGAGACAGGTTCTCTCATTGGCCAGGAACTTATCAGTCAGGCTAGCCGGGTCTGCTTGTCCCTGCCTTTACAGTACAGGCTTGTAAGAATGAACCACCACATTGCTTTTAACATGAGTTCCAGGATGCAGCCCTAGGCCTTCACACTCATACAATAAGCACTCCTTGACTGGACCAGCATCCCAGCCCTATGTTCTTTTGCTTTTAGTGTTACATATTCACACTTCTGCTCCTATTTTCTTGCCAAATATTTCTAGCATAATGCTTTTCAGAGAACTGACTTTCCCTCCTCCATCCAGTGCTCTGAGTTTATCTTTTTTTTTTGTGTTTCTATTTTTGTGGATCATGTGATGGCTGGCTGCTGTGGTAGGTAGGCCCTCACCTCCACCACGGCAGCAGCTAGCATTAGAGATAACCACAGCATCAGAAATTGGAGTTGTGGGACCCACCTGGACAGGACTTACCTCAATGAGCTTCCTCTCATAGGAGCTTGCTAGCTCCTCAGCAACTTCCCCAGGCTTCTGTTCAGGTACTGTAACTTCTCCATCAATGTTCCAAAGACTGGGTACCACTTTAAGAAAAGAGAAATACTCAGTTATGTAGTGGGATATTCACTTTGTCTCCTTCTGTGGCACTGACTCCACATCAATTACTCTCCTTCATTTTAATGCATGTGTTTAACTTATTTAATATTTAGGTACATGTATATGTGAGTACATAATTTCTCTATTGAGAAAGATATTTATAAAGAAAAAACACACTAACACCATAACACAGCACAACAAAGCAAGGGATGGTACACTGTCTTATGATGTGGGGTGTCCTTCTGTGTGTTGCTCTTATTGGTTGATGAATAAATCTGCTTTTGCGAATGGCCAGGCAAAATAGAACTAGGTGGGAAATCCAAACAGAGATACTGAGAGAAAGAAGGTGGAGTCAGGGAGATGCCATGTTGCCACTGATGGGGTAAGGTGTCAATAAGATACAGCCACATGGTGAATCACAGATTAGTAGAAAAAAAAAAAAGAGTTAATTTAATTGTGAGAGCTAGCCAATAATATGCCTGAGCCATTGTCCAAACAATTATAGTTAATTTTAAGTCTCTGAATTCAGGAACTGGAGGATGGATGTGGAACCTCCATTTACAATCTTCTGATAGAGGGGTTAAGGATGGTACACAGTCTTCTGCAATGGGGTTAAGGATGGTACACAATCTTCTGATATAAAGGTTAAGGATGGTACACTATCTTCTGATACAGGGATTAAGGATAATTATGCAATCTTCTGATAGAAGGGTTAAGGTGTGAGCTCTCAATTGATCCTGTGACCATGCCTCTGCTCTGCCATCATGGATTCTTATCTCTCTGACACCACAAACCCAATTAAGTGCTTTCTAAGATGCTTAATCAGGATGTTTTAGCACAGCAACTGGAAAGCAGCTAATACAGAAGTAGAACCAAGAACAATCTGTAAAGGGTCTCAACTTTCCTAATGCTGTGACCCTGTAACACAGATCCTCATGTTATGGAGACCCCCCAAGGATAAAATTATTTTTGTTGCTACTTCATAAATGTAATTTTGATACTGTTATGAATTGTAATAGAAATATCTGATATGCAGGATATCTGATATGTAACATATGTGAAAGGGGTCATGACCCACAGGTTAAGAACCACTGCCTTAGAAGGGCTTCCAACAGCCTTGGGAAAGTCTCTGAGACCAGGGTGTCAAATCACTGCAAGTGCATGCTACACAAAACTGCCCCCAGGTCACGATGCACAAGACATGGTCACCCTGAATGCCTACATTGTCCTGAAGACCAAATAATTAAAGACAGAATAAGCCTAGAAGTTCCAAAGACACTTACAGAACAAGACCAAGATAGGGGTGTAGCACTGGACAAAGAAAAGCTGAGTGACACACTTTACAAACATGGACCAGCTCTATTCCCAGCAGATGCTGAGAGGTGCAAGCCCTGAATGCCCATTAACCATAATAGGATTATGCTAGGGCAAAAGAAAGGATCCAGGCAGCCTCAGGTGACAGGGAGTGGCTTCCAGAACTATAGTACAAGCACTGTTATGTGGTGATATCTTGCCTGTATAAACAAAGCGTATCTGGAGGCCAGAGAATGGAGCTTGCCATTAGCTAACCATAGAGTTCTGGAGGTCTGAACAGACAGACAGGAAGTGAGGTAGCTGGGCAGAAACAGGATATAAGCAGGAAGAAACAGGAAACTTCCCTCTTGTCTGTAGAGGACATGGAGGAGTAGGAAGTGGGGGAGTGTGGTGGAGCCAGACCTCTTTCTTGTATGATAAGGCTAATAATAATAATGGTGAGGTGGTGAGTCTGTGTATCTAGAAAATGCTGATATGAAAACACGGGCAGAGTTTCGCTCCATACAAATACAAACACTGGACTTTGAAGTGAGACTTAGAAAAGCTGAGAACCATTGGGAGTGGTGGTGTGCTCCTGTAATCGAAGCACAGGAGGTGGAAGCAAGAGGATCAGGAGTTCAAGCTCATCGAGCCAGTTCAGGCCAGCCAGACTGTCTCCACACAACAAGAAGGCAGGTGAAATGGCTCTGCAAGTCAAGGCACTTCACAGCCAAGCCCGCTGACCTCAGTTCATCCTGGAACCTGTGTGGTGGGAGAAATACAGAGAGTCGCATACAAAAGAGACATAAAAACAGTAACCAAGAATTGGGTAAGATATTAGTACTGCAAAAATCAGGGGCCCCTCTTGGTTTCTTAGTTTCATTAATAAAGGAATTTATGGAATAAACTGGAAGTGGGAAAACAATTTTATTAGAGATTAGAGAAAAAGCAAAGAGTAAGCAGGATGTTCATCTCAGCAACTGCCCAGAGAAGAATGGAGAAGGAAAACAGGACAAACCACTGGAGTTAAGCCTGCAGGAGGCTAGACACAGGGCTACAGGCAGACACATGACAGGAGAAGCACTTTAGAGAAGGAGTGAGGAAGCCAAAGTGGAAGGAGGCATGCTTAGCACAGAACAGAAAGAAGAGGGGAAGTTACACTTTTCCGACTAGTTCAAAAAGGCAGGCCACCCTGTGTAAGGAGTAAGGTTTTCCTCCCACCGCCGGTCTTGTCCCACCGCCGTGCCAGCCCCAATTAATACACCAAGACTCTGTATTTGATATAATGCTATTGGCCAGTTACTTGTTTCTTATCGGCTAGCTCTGTCTTAAGTATTAACCCATTTCTATGTATTTCCACGTGGTTTCACCTTACCGGGGAGTGGGGCAGGCATCTGGTCTCCCCGGTCTCTCCATGCTGATTCCTCCTTACTACTTCCTCTTTCCTTCATGTCTCCTAGTCCCTCCTATTGGCCAATAGTGCTTTATTCATTAACCAGTATGAGAAATATATTTACAGAATGACATCTCCCATCAACCCTGTGAAGAAGCATGGCTGAGCTCTGGAAGAGATGAGGCTGGGGACAGGAATTCTGAGAAGGAAGAGCACATTATTTCACTAAATATCTGTCCCACTACCTCTTCAGCATGGTTTAAGACAAACCTATTTCCCTAGTGGTGGCCCATTACCCAGGTCATTGGTCCACACAACTAGATTAGCTCTTAGGGGAGGAGACAGTGGCATGTCTCCTATTAGAGGCAGGATGCACTCTTTAGCAACAGCAATGCCAGCAGCAGCACAGAGGTCCTTGTAAGCAGGATAGCTATCAGCAAAGCTCAGCTGATAAGTATCCAGCATGTGTAGCTATTATCCTCCCCAAGGGCCTGGCACCCAAAATGACCTTCAGATCTTTGTCTGGCCATGGGTGCATCTCACATCAACAAGGAGCCCCTACCCATTAGGAAGATGTGAATGCTAACCTACAACATGTCTCCCTATTTCAGCCATTGACCCACCAGTCTTCTTCCAGGCTCCAAAGTGTATTTAAGAAGAATCAGCAAAATTCCATGCTGGGCAAAGACATGGAATTAGCTTTATTCGAAGTGAACTCAATGCTGGCTTTCTGTTTTGTATGTTTGATTTTTTGCTTCTTGTGCTTTTTTTAAGAGAAGGAGAAAACATAAGCTGGGTGGGTAGGGAGGTGGGGGAGTGTAGGGAGTTAAAGCCTACAAGCAAAGAGATGAGACACCCTGGAGTCTGCCTGTCAGAGGGCCTGATCATGCCCAGTCAATGAGGGGCAACCACGAGATGCTGCTGGAGAGCCTAATCACAAGCACTGGCAGAGGTCCTAATTGTGTCTAGCCAATGAGGGATGACCATTCGATGTCAATGGATTGGAGCACCTGGGTGTTGGAAGGGTATACAAGGTTCCCCCATTGCTAAATAAACCAGTCTGCTGTTTCCTTTTCACCTGACTGCGGGTGTCTATGCTGTTTGACACCAAGCCTTCTCACCCCTCCTCCAAGGGAGCTGTTAGGGAGGGATCTGAGAAGAGCTAGGGAAAGGGAGAGAATATGATCCCATGTTGTATGAAATTCTCAAAAAATAAAAAATAGTTTTGTTTAACATGTGCATCCATGTGTGTGCATAAGCATGCAAGTAGGAGTGGAGCACTGTAAGCATGTGTGCATGCACAGGCATGAGCATGAGTGGTAACAGTCAGTTCTCTCTTTCCACCATGCAGGTCCTGAGTATTGAACTCGGATCACCAGGCTTGGGGGAAGGCACTTTCTCCCACAAGGCTATCTCACTGATCTATAAACAGACTTTTTGACCTTCAAGGCTGGGCACACCCTGTATACAAGGCAAAAAATCCAAACGCCAAGGAAGAATTTAGATGAAGAACAAGGAAAGCAGTCACCAACACATTTCATGAAACCCATTTAATTATGAAAAAATAAGTATTTTATGTTTATATTGCTTCATGAAAAAAAAAAAAAAAAGGCCCACTGGACCACCTACTGTATGGCTGGGTGAGTGAGGAACCATACAGCACAGGGCAGGAACAGCTCCCAGAGTGTCTATCTCTTTTCACTGAAAGGGACAATGAGACTGAGGGGGGGGCAGGGGTGAAGCCCCACATAGTTAAAGTGTTAAGGAAACCAAAATACAGTTTCCCAGAATTCAACACGCCCTGGGTTACAAAAAGTCCCGCTTCATTCCTAGAACCCGCCGTCTCTCTGATGAGTAGACAGGACTTCTAGTAATAGACTGTGCTTCTGACTTCCCAGGGTCACACTCCACTCTCTAGAAAGCAGGACAATTATTCTCACATGGCTTGGAATCCTCTTGGTTACAGCCTCAAGACCAGAAAAAAGAAAAAAAACCCATGGAATTCTCTCAAACTAGTAGAAGCAGTAAGAGAGTAAGTACCACGGCTATCTTTGGGGTAGTGTGTGTGTGTGTGTGTGTGTGTGTGTGTGTGTGTAGGGATGTGTATGTTCGTCTAAGGCATTAGAGAGAGGCCCGAGCTAGGGGAAAGAGGGAGTCTTCTGACTGTTCCTATTACCTTCTTTCTGGGCACAAAAGAAGGTAGCTTTGTGGAGCCCCCCCACACACACACACACATCTCTCTTTTTACTAAGGAGACATGTTTGCAAGGTGTGGGCATGTGACAGAGCCACAAAGTCTCTG